CTTGGACTCACCAAGGTCAACTGGCAGAGCAGAGTTAACAAGGACATTGCTCTGTGTTTCAGTTTGATACTTAGCAGCTGGAATCTTCAGGGCTCATAAGCCGAATATAATGTGCAAATATTTGTCTCTTTCCATCCGGAGAGAATAAAAGTGATGAAAACTGAAAAACACCTGGAAACAGACCAGTGGACCCGGGGACCAAGGAAACATTCGTCTCCATTATCTTGAGAGTAGGGTGGTTTCCTGATAACAACATGGAACTCCTGTGAAAATGCCCACTGTAGAAGGTACTTGCATAAATTATACAATATATAAATTACTATAGAAGTGGAACTAGAATGTGGAATACTCAAAATTATAAGGCTTATTGGTTGGATAGAGACTGGTGATACCACCAAGATTATAGCCCTTAGTGACCCATAAGAACTGGAATTAAACTCGCCCCAGATTAGAACAACTAACAATTTAAGATCCTAAAGTAAGAAGTACTCACAGCAAAGGACGGATAGAAATGGGAACACATGGAAGAAATGGCATAAGTGACGGCAGGTACATTAAAAGGTTAGAAATGGATGGATGGAAATAAACTGTGTAATTAAAAAAAAATAAACTGATGATCCATGCTGCAAGATTTCACATAATCTCAAGGAGTGGTTTCCATCATATTTTAAATGGTTCATTTTATATTATGTATTTCACCACAGTATTATTTGTCCTAAAAAGGGAGTATCTAAGAATGTGTAGCAGAGTTGGACTGTGCTCCTCAAGGTGAGCTGTTTGAACCCACCAGCTGCTCCACAGGAGAAAGATGGGACTTTCTACTCCTGTAGAGGATTCCAGATTTGAGACCCTACAAAGGCAGTTTCACCCTGTCCCATAGAGCTGCTGAGCTGGTATTGACTCCGTGGCAGTGAGTTTGTTTTCTTTTGTTGAATTTTTTGGTTTTATAAAATACTCATTTCATGCTCCACAAAGCATCCATTCTAAAGAAATCTTGAACTAACTGTGTATATTTGAATGGAAACATGAAAATGAGGGGGGACATGGAGCCAATACCCAAAGCCAATCTGTAGACAATTGGGACAACGCTTTACAGTAGAGTCACAAGGAAGAGACAATCTAGTAAGGGTACAGAGTAGCACCAGTGAGACATTCAACTTTCCTCTAATTCTTTAGTACTTCCCAACCACCAGCACTATCATGACCCCAATTCACCTTACAAAACCAGCTGGACCAGAACATGAACACTGGTACAGATAAGAGCTTGAAACACAGGGAATCCAGGACAGATAA